TGTCCTATGTGTTTATCCTGAAGATGATGATAGGAATTGGATCCCAAAGGGAGTTGCTCAAGGACCTCAACACCTGTGTCTCCCACATGCTCATGTTCCATGTGCCCTCCATCACTTTAGCATCTATGCATCACTTTGGCCAGCACAAGTCCCCACTTGCCATGATCCTTGCTGCTGACATTTTCTTACTAGTGCTACCTCTGATGAACCCCTTTGCATGTTGAGTGAAGACAGAGCAAATTTATGAAAGAGTTCTGGAAAAACTGGGAATAAAGTGAAAATATGGCAGGGAGTAGTAGGGCAAGATCAGCCAGGATAGGGAAGAAAATGATATCTTAAAAAGAGTTGTATTATCAATGATCCATCATTATCTTTAAAATCATCTTTATAATCAGTATAACCTATACGATGGTCATTATATTGACCAAATATAGCTAGTTACTATATGAACACAGGACTTACATGGGCATTGATAGGGATGTAGGGACAGTTATTCAATAGCATGAATAATAATTGTGAATCAATACACTGATATACTATTTTAGTTACATTGCTTATAGCACAAGGATAAGTACATATGCCAGTAGATCTTGTCCCCTGCAGATAATGAATATCAGACAAGTCAGAGGTTAAAAGATGCTACCCCAATCTGGTTGCAGATTTTCTTTCAGGTGACTCTTAGGCATGTTATATTCATTGAGGGAACTTTAGTTATTTTGTAGGAATTCTTGATTTCCCATGTAAGTGAAGTCACTTACTGTTGTGAGGTGGAATAATGTCCTCCTTCTCCTCCTTCCTTAACAATAAAACAGGGACAACCAGTAATTTTTTTTTACCTCAAAGTTTTTTTGTTTTTTTTTAAATTCTCCATTTTTGTTTTTAATTAGTTAATTTGATATACGTATTTAATCAATGGATGTGTAACTGATGTGATTCTGCAATCTGTATATGGGGTAAAAATGGGAGCTCATAACCCACTTGAATCAAATTGTGAAATATGATATATCAAGAACTATGTAATGTTTTGAACAGCCAACAATAAAAAATTAAAAAAAATAAAAATAAAAAGGACTGGGGATGTAGCTCAGTGATAGAGCACCCCTGGATTCAATCCCCAGTACCTCAAAGTTTTCATAGCCCTGTTTTATGAGATTAAACTCTCTCACAGCATTCTTTAAGGTAAAACAAACAAAAAAAAAAGTCTTTTTCCCCACAAAATTCCAGAGTTCCAAGAAGTAATAACTATTATAAGTAGACAGATGATTATACTTTTAGTAAGGAGTAGGAAAGAAAAAAAACATATATAGTAGTCTTAAAAGAACTGAGTTATTAACTGCTCTAAAATAGACTTTATAAAGTTTGGTTCTTGTGATTATGTAAGTATTTGGTATTTAAAACTATGATATAGCAAATTAACTAAATAATCTAGAAATAATTTCAGAATTATTTTATATTTATGTAATATAAATAATGTATATTTAAATAACATAAAATCTTATACATGCATATATGATTTTATATTTTAAAAAGATAACAACCAACTATAGATGATTGGGTTCCTCAAATTATTTTCTGTAAAATCATTTGCTTCTTGTGTATTTCTGGTTTGTATCTGCTTAATAACAGGCAAAGATATAAAAATAACCTCAGCATTTTAATGAGGTCCTCAGCAACTTAGTGAAAACTGTCTCAAAATAAAAAAGGTTGGGGATGTAGCTCAGTGATAGACCAACCCTGGGTTGTATCCCTGGTACTATATGCATGTGTGTGTGTGTGTATGTGTATGTATGTGTATATGTGTGCACACGTATGTATTTAGAATAAGTCAATCCTTAACACTTTTATATGAATTGGGGAAAAGTTAATACATTTTAATGTTTTATTGTCTAAACAGAACTCACATATGATATTATTTCTCTTTCAAAGAACCATTTTCAAGAAGTTGTTCTCTGATGGCTAAATATTCATATTTATTTTTTGTCTCCAGGTGAGTTTAGCTAAGGTTTTATTGTTGGGTAGCTGACCCTGACTGATGCCCTAATCAGGGAAGACAGGGTGAATCTTGTCTCTCCCCAGGTTGTTACTCAGTTCTTTCTCAGGGACCCACACATTCACCAATTTTGTCATAATCACTAGTTCATATATCTGTCTCTCTTACTTGTATTTTGTTTCCACACAAAAATGGCATAATGAATATCTTGGTGTAGTTCCAGTACTTTTATAGTACATATGGAATGGCATCTGGCTGGAAGTCTTATGCAACTTTTCCCCCAACTTGTTTTGAGAAACAATCTTAACAATCCAAGAGCCTTTGATGATTATGAAAATATTGCAAGTACTATGAACATCTGAAGTGATAGAAAATGTAGCCTGCTTGGGCTTAAACAAACAAACAAACAAACAAAAAAGAGTCAGTCGGTAGAAACAAAGAATAAATCTAACAGAATCATGGTGTGTGTGTGTGTGTATTTCACAGGGAATTCCACCATTGTGTATTTATAAAAAGCAGCAATCAAAAATAAATACATAGACACATAAAAGGAAGATCACTAAAGCAGAGGAAGGAGAATGGGGAGACAGTATGGGAGGGAAAGGGGGAGACAGGGACTAAGATGGAGTAAATCAAATTCCAGACATGTATGACTTTCTCAGAATAAGCTCAACCATTATGTATGATTAAAACCCTCTAATAAAAAGAAATCAGTGAGTAACTGAATTTTATGTCCTGAAGCTGCCCTGAAAAATAGTTCATGTTCTGTTAAACCCCCCAACACACACATATATTTTCATGAGTGAAATGAAAAACAGTGTTTATATTCCTTTTAGTGTTTGCCCCAAACTCAGAATTTCAAATCTGTGCCAGGCAGGAATTTCTTAAGTGATAATATGTCAATTAATCTTGTTTCTGCATCTGAAGACTGAACAGGTCCATGGTCCAGTTCTCTGCATTTTCATATAGGTTTCATACATTTGCAGTTCAGCTTACAGTAACATTTGTTTGGAAATTTACTACAACAACTCTAAAAATTGAGTAACAAGAGGAGACTATAGAATATAAGATAAAAACAGAAACTAGGCTAACGCTCAATATGATGGTGATATTTATTACACAGGGTAAGATTGTGTGGTTCACTCAACAATTTAATAGGCAGAGGAAGGAAAGAGAATCAAGGCATTATAACACACCATATAAGACCTGGCAACATATAATAAAGCAATATCAGAAAATAATGCAATATAGATTAATTGGTCAAATAACACTAGTAGGAAAAAATGACAGCCTAAAGTTTCATATGTGTGGGCATGACATGGTGTCACACACAAAGATAAATTAAAATAAATTAAGAGCTGAGGTAACTTTAAAATTTATTTAAATACAAGTAAAACTATCATCTCTGGATGGGAATTTTTTTCTAAGAAAACAAGAATGGAAAAATGAAAAGGAAAAGCATATTTTTGTTAACAAGTGATTAGTTATATGAATAATATTTAAATAGTAAATTAGAAATAATAGGATATACCCAGTGTTTGCCAGGTGTCAGCCTATTGGCCTATATGTTTACCTCTATCAGCAACATTAACTTTGCAAAAGCACAGAGTGATAGGTTTATTGATTACTCCTATTCTGTAGATTAGGAAGTTAAAGCTTAAAAAATCAACAACTTTTCCAAGGAAATAAAGGTCAAATGTGTTTAGAGATTGAATGCTAATGCAGATAGTATGATTCTTAAACCTATAATTTCAGTTACTACACTAAATTTAGTTACTTTGTTTCCTTCTAAGTTTAATACTTCATATTACTACTAGGACTCTAAGAACATAATCAGTGGTATGATCAAATATATATTTATTAGGATATATGTCAAGAGTAACTGAAATGTTAAATAATAGGACTTCATAACCTAAACCATGATATAAATATTATATGCTGTCATTCACCCATGCAAGACAACACTAACAACTAAGTGGTATATACTAGGCAGTGTATCAGATCTTAAGGATCAAATGAAGCATGAGACATAGGCCTGCTATGAAGCAGCTCACAGTTTGGTAGTGGGGAGAACAAGTAAACAAATATTAATACTCACTGACTAAGATCTGGTAAACTTAAACACACATAAAAGAACAATAAATTGCCTATTCTGGTAGAGACTCGAAGAAAAACTAATACAAAGTACTATGACCTAACAGAGAATAATATCGCACAAACAAGAGACACATAAGCATACATTATTGTGTTAATGTATATGTGTATATTTGTGTGCACTTCTGTTGACTTGCTTAAAAAAATATTAGTCATATATAAAATGTCATTAGTGGGATTATAAATAGTCTTTAATAATTTTCTGTATTTCTCAATATATTCACAATTTTAATCTAAATTTTATATGACATTTATAATCATAAAAAGGTTCCAAATATATTCAAATAGACTAAGCAAATGAGAGCAAGAGAAAAAGAGTGTGTGTGTGTGTGTGAGAGAGAGAGAGAAGGGATTAAAGAAAGATGTACAAAGAGTGCATCTGTGAGGAGACAGTGCTCTCTAGAAGGAATTGAAAAGAAATTGAAAGCAGTGTGCAAGATTTTCCTAAAGTGTTTAACCACAAATTTCTGTATGTGTGCTTTTGCACACACATTCAACTTTTATTTTTACCAACTCAAAGAAAACCTTCATTTTTCCCTTGGAATGTGAAAAAATATATATATAGTTGGATGCAAATATAAAATTATTGTCATTTATTTCTGGTCTGAGAATTAATATTTTAAAACAGATAAATTATTCCATTGGATTTAAATGACTTTATTGTGCTTTTTATGTGCACACACAGGAGACTCTGTCATTTTGTTAAATGTCTGAAGAACATATACACAATTAAATGGGTTTTGAATTGTGGTATTTATGAAACTCTGATAAGCTCAAGGAAACACTATCCTGTTCTCCCAAGCCTATATTCCAAATGGAATTGCCTCAGTCACCAAATCCATTTCTCTCTTCAATCTCATCTTCTTTGAAGGCCCCTCATATTGGGGCGCCTTGAACTCTTGAACTGGAACAACTGAAATATGGCCTGGCGGATCATCCTGGTCTTCAGGCTGTAAATGACCGGGTTCAGTACAGGTGGTAAGAGTAGGTAAATATTGGCCAAAATACTACAGATAACCCTTGGGGTAGAATCAAAGAGACGGTGTGCTAAAGACAGGGTGATCATTGGCACATAGAAAACGGTAACAGCACAGATGTGACAGACACAAGTGCCGAGAGCTTTTTGTTGCTTCCTGGGGGTCACAATGGTCAGAACAGTGCGGAGGATCAGGACGTAGGAGAAAAGGATGAACAGCAAGTCTGTGCCATTCAGGAATAGCTGAAGAAACATGCCCCAAAAGTTGCTGATCCAGGGATTGGAATGTGTGTATTTGATCACGTCTGGGTGGTAGCAAAACGGGTGGGAAAGCTCTTGGCCTCCACGGAAAGACACATTACTCAAGGCGAGACCACAGGGAAACATGAAAATTACTTGTCGTATGAAGATGATTAGTCCGATCACCAAGCTCATCATGTCTGTGAGGACAACAGCATACTGCAGTGGGTTACAGATAGCCATGAAGCGGTCGAAGGCCATGGCTACCAGCACCGAGGACTCCAGAAAGGAAAAGGTGTGCAGTAAATACATCTGAATGAGGCAAGCTTTTAAACTGATTTCCCGGGCGTAAAACCAGAGAACCCCAAGCACAGTGGGAAGGGTGGTGATGGTCAGACACAGATCAACAGCTGCGAGCATGGAGAGGAAATAGTACATGGGCTTATGGAGACTCCGCTCGGTAACGATGACAAACAAGATCATGCTGTTTCCCAAGAGGGCAACGGTATAGAGACAGCAGACAGGAATGGAGATCCAGACATCAGCATGTTCCAGTCCAGGGAACGCAGTGAGCAGGAAGCCGGAGGAGGAGGACGTGGTGTTATTGAAAATGAACATGCTGAGTTGAGGGCACACCCTGGAAAGAAAGACAATAAAGATAATATTTGCCATTTAATCCTTTTTTTATAATCCTAGCTTTTTCATAAACGCTTCCCTGATTACACAATTGTATCTCTTTATTCAACACTCCCAATCTAATCCCTGTGTCTATCAGATCAGATCCTTCTACAGTGTTTTGGATTGTTCTTTTTAGAACCTGGCCATATTTTCCTGTCTCCAGATTATAATCATTTCCAGATTATATCCATCAGTCTTCCTAGTTTCATTCTCACCTTATTTCCTAGATTAGCCTGACCTGAAATAAAATATTTTTATAGACAGGTAAAACACACGCATATATAATAAGAAATATAACCTGGGGGGGTCTTTATATTAAGTCTCCAAGCTATATAAGTCACTAAAAAAATAATAGAGAAGTACACAAGCACCACTCTGGGCACCTGTGGGGCGTACTCCACAATGTCTTTGTTAGAAACTGGTCCTGGATGATGTATCCAGAGGTATCCTTGGACCTGGTATCCTTGTACCACACTCTCCTCATACTCTCCTATTAGAAATATCCTTTTAGTATTATGGCTTTGTTATTTCATTTCCTGAATGAAAGTAATTCTAATAACTCTGTCTTTTACCATCTCACATATTTTTGAGCCTGAGATTCACTGTGTCCTCTATTTCTGTCTCTCTATATGGCTTTCCAGGTCTACCAACACAACTAGGTTCTATTTTTTCCTCTGTCTTACACCTCAGGGTTTTTGTTTCTACTCCTTCTCATGAATATCTACCAGGGGAATTCGAACCCACTTACTTGACTGTCCTAATGAATCCTGTCCAGATTTCCAAACATTATTCTGGAATATACAACTTCAGATATCCTTATTTAGTCTTAGCAAGTAAGCCTAGACAAAATACCCTGCCACATCAGTTTGTACCTCAGTTCTGCTATTGTTTTAAAGTCATGACAGGAATTTAATGAACCACTGTGGAGACCATGTCTTGCTTCATTAACTACAATGTGATGGGGCCATGAATGTTGGCACCATTTTATGTTATTGGGAGAATACAGGAACAAATCCTGCATTCCTCCTTCTTTGTTTTTCTCCTCTTGTTGATTAAAACAATCTTGTTAATTTGAATGCTTATTCTATTGATGAAATTTTTTGAGTGCCTTGCATGTCCATGTTGGAATGGACTTGAGATTATTTACAAGCAAGATGAAATGTATGGAAGGCTCTCATGAGCGTGCCATAAATGACTTTGGAAAAAATGTAAATGAGATGGAAGAAGGAATAAAGGAGACCAGTCAGGGACAGGCAGGTTGAGTTGACATCACAAGTTGGAATAACAAGTAGTTGAATGGATGAGAAAATCCCTAGAAAGACAGATACAAGAGAACCCATAAATGGTGTCCTAAGGAGGCAGAAGTATAGAATTTATACTTAAGATGACCATTCAGAAATTATTTGACAACTATTGGTCAAAAGAATAACAATTCCTGATTTTTGTTTTTATTTAGGCCAAGTAGTCATCTTTAAAGAGCTGACTGGGAGTGATGTATCTGGCCTAGTTATTGAATGGACATGGTCAGTTCTAAGTGACCTCATCTTCCAGTAGCTAGATTTATGCCCTGCTGACAGTAAATATAAGAAATTTTCTAATTCCAGAGCATCAGATAAGGATAAACATGAGCAATGTTAATTTGTATACCTCCTCCAGCCTACTGATGATGACAATAGAAATACTCACTTCTTACCTCAACAGGAAAAAAATATTTTATGATGTTATATTTAAGTATTATTGTATTATAGTTGTCTGTGATTTGACTGGAAAAGAACACTAAGAATCAGGAAAAATCAATGCCAAATGAGATACAGATTACAAACATGCTGAATCAAATCAAACCCTCATTATTTTAATTGTCAAATTGTAGTGAAAGCTAAGGAGACAGGAATGAGTAAAGAATAGTTTCCACATTCAAAATTTACTCAACCTAGTGAGAATAAATGAGGCAAGAAGCCAAGGCAAACCTTAATTAAGAACTTCTACTACCTGGAGAAATGGAATACCCATTCCTACCCAAAGGAAAATAGGAAAACAAAAGATAGCTGAGATTTCTGTGTCATTATTTCTCTTTTTGGCTACTAAGCACAGACATTAAGAGTATATCTCTTTCTTTATGGTAAACATCCAGGAATCCCTTTACAATGCTTAACATATTGAATCTCCTCCAACCGTATTTTACATATACTTTTATAAGATCTAAATTTTTTATGTCTGGATCACATTTCTTTCTCCAACCAGAATGTCATCTCTTTGGGAACAAAAAAACATATGAGTTGTTCATCTTTATATTTTCTCAGAGACAAGCACAATGACTGGCAATTAATAAAAACTCAATCAATTTTATATTAGATATACTGACAGATGTTTAAATGACAAAAGTAGATAAAGAATGGATTAGAGAAATATAGACTGGATCTGGAAGTTTTGAGGGAAGAATGATCCATGGGGAAATAATCTCTCTGGACACCCTGAAGATCATCTAGTTAATTGGGAGAAAGATGGTAAATTAAGAGAAAATGAAAATAATTAAGATTTTTTTATACATACTATCCATTTTGGTAACCTCTTTTTGTGTACTTTCAAAAAATCTAGGAAAATTTTTAAATGAGTTTTTTTTCCTGTTTTGAAGAAAGGGAAATAGAACATGGTAATTAATGTATCCAACGTAAATAGATAAAAATTCAATATCAGATTTACTAACTCTAAAGTTCATTATATCTTACCAAACTTCAGACCAAAAGAGATGTCAGCCTTATAAGACAATCCAGATAGTTGGATGCTATATTTTCTTCTTTTAAAAACATATTATTTTTATATAGCTCTATAATTCAAAGGAAGGATAGAGATGAGCATAAGAACCTCGGTCCTCATGGCTCTCTAAAGAATATTTGTGGAGTACAAGTGTGTTTGGAAATGTGTGTAAATGTCTGCATATGTTTGTATTGTGTGTCTTCATGTCTTGGGTGTATGTAGAGGAGAATTCTAGAGTGGAAGAGTAATCAAGGGACAAATTTCCTATAAAGCAGATACCAATTAATTTTTGGTGTTTGAATAGTATCTCATGTCATAAAGGACTAAAAAAAAAAGTCCCCGGATAATGAGAGGTGGGTAGGAAAAGAGAAGGTGACAGAGTCTCACTTTGCTGCTGGAGAACTTGTGTCCTATGAATGGACATGTATAGGCAGGAGGAGAAGCAGCGTGTTCATGTTAAGCTCATACACTCAGGAGCTGCCTGTAGGACACAGCTCATTAAGGTTTTCTCTACATTGCTCACTAACCAGGAAAATGGATTAATGCTTTCTCTCTTCAGGTACAAGTGCCCATCTGACTGATTAGGTAGAAAATAGCATCTGCCCATACATTAAGAAAAGGCTAAGCAAAATTATCTGAAAAAGACCTACCCAGTTCTGTGCCTTCATGATATATAACTCAACATCCTTGTTTTGTGGCATTCTCTTCATTTACCAACTTCTATCTTCTGTTCACTCATCAACACTAGCTGTTATACCTTCCACAATCCAAAACTTTCCCTGACAAATCCAGAATGTGTTAAACTGAAAATTCCCCTCTGCTTCTAATCTTTATCCATCTTAATGCTTGGACATTTACTTTGATTCTTAATAATGAAGCAGAGTGAATATTGATAATTTTTATGTCAAGGTATCTACTCTTCTTTCTGCCTAGACTGTGAGCTTCTTTATAGTTTGAGCATACACTCTTTCTCTCTCTCCATGTTAGCTATGAAAGCAAGATCTCAAACAAAGCAGTTTCAATTAACAAAATTAGCTGCTAAAAATTTGTAGCCACAAGCAGAGAGGTCTGGGTCCTGACTTCTTATCTCTTTGCCCCTTCTTTTCCTTTCTGTTCTCAATCTCCATATCTCAATCTCATCCCTGATTCGTTATACCATTACTACTACCTCTTCACTTGCCTTAGTCATAACTCCCATCTACACATTGCTTTTTCTTCCTCCTGCTCTTCTACTATTCCTCATTTTAAAATTCTTCTCCATTTAAATCTTTCTTGCACTCTCTTTACCTGGTCACATCAGTGGGAAGAACCACCAGCTTCTCTTCAGCCCCAGCACAGAGCAGAAAATAAGCCAGCTCCCATGGTGAGCTCTTTATAGGCAATGACCCAGTAGAGTCACCAGGCAACAGAAGGTAAAGTTGATTACTTAAATATGCTGCTTGGAGCAAGAGTGATGCGACCCATAAGAATATGCTCCTCTACAGCAGCTCAGAAACAGCTTCAAACCCTGCTCCTAGGCCCAAGGCAAACCCCATCTATCAGGGCCTAGGAGAAAGTTCTGGCCTCAGGGACTGAAAATAATAGGAGTCTGTAAAAACAGCCTGCCTGTGTCAGATAACTACACCTATTCCTCTTCCCCCAGCCTCAGGCTACAGAGTCTCAGTCAGAGAGGCTCTCTGAATGTCAGAGCGAGACTAGGATAGGACAGTAAGAATAATTCTTCTGTTCTCTCTTTCCAATATGTGTTCTTCCTAACAGGTCTCATTATCTGTCTAATCATTTCTATCCCCCCACCACAGGAACCGCTCCTATGAAGTCATCCTGAGTCACATTTGCAGGCAACCTACCCTGCAAGCAAAAGTAATCTAACATTTGAAAATCATGTTTTATATATAACTTTATATATGTTATATATAACTATATATGTGTGTATATGTATGTGTGTGTATGTGTATATGTATGTGTATATACACATATGTATATATGTATGTGTATATACACATACACACACAACACTCCCCCCACACCATCTCTCTCTCTCTCTCTCTCTCTCTCTCTCTCTCTATATATATATATATATATATATATATATATATCCTTTAAATACATTGTACCAAATTAAAATCAACTTTATGAGTATTTTTTATTATTTCATAATGAGGAAGTGAAAACTCATAGAGATTTTTAATAACTTTGCCCAG